ATTCTTCTCACTGGACCAATAGGCAACATCATGCTAGATGGAGAAAAAATTGAAACTATCAACAAGTTCATCTTACTTTGATCCACAATGAACACCCTGGTATCAGCAGTCAGAAAATCAGGAGATGTATTGCATGGGAAAGTCTGCAGTTAGGTATCTCTCCAAATTATTTGGGAGTAATGCTATCAGTTTAAGGACTAAGGTGTGTCTGATTCAGGTTATGGTCTTTCTAATCACTTGCTATGCATCTGAGAGCTGGACAGTGAATAAGGGTGACAGAAAATTGATGCCTTTGAGCTGCGGTGTTGGAGAAAAGCACTGAACATTCCATGAGAGGCCAAAAGAACACAAAAAATGTCTTGGAGAGGGTGCAGCCAGAGTGCTCTTTGGAGGCAAGGACGATGAGGCTTCACCTTACATACTTCAGGCATGTTGCTAGGAGGGGCTTTTCCTTGGAGAGGGACATGATGCTTGGAAAGGCAGAGGGTTGGTGAAGGAGAGGAAGCCCTTTGACCAGGTGGATTGACAAGATGACTGCCTCTAACGTGTCAGGAAGTGTGAGGATGGCGCAGGACAGAACAGAGTTCCGATCTGTTGTTCAGAGGGTTGTTATGGGTCATACTCAACTCGATGACACCTAACCACAGTAGACATTTCATAGAAGAGGAATCTTTCATATGTAAGTAATCCCATTCATTGATTGAGGAAGACCAATGGAGAATTGCCTACTTTTGAATTGTGGTGTTAGTGGAGAGTATTGTGTACACCGTGGACTGTCAGGTGACAAACAAGTCGGTCTCAGAAAAAGTGCATGCACACCCATGTTTATTGCGGCTTTGTTTGCAATAGCAAAGAGCTAGAAACAACCCAAGTGCCCATCAACAAAAGAATGGATAAAGAAGCTCTGGTATACTCACACAACGGAATACTATGCTGCATTGAAAAAGAAGGAACTCATGAAATATTATGCAAAATGGGTGACCCTGGAGGACATTATGCTAAGTGAAATATCTCAGTCACAAAAGGACAAATATTGCATAGGGCCACTGTTGTAAAATGAGACTGACATCAAGGTTGAGGGAAGACAGAGAATGAGGGGAGGAATGATGCATATTGCATTGAAACAGATGAACTGTTTAAAAGGGACATATGAATGGGTATTCTTGTCATTACAGAAGTCCAGAGTGAGGGCTGCATAGTGGAGTGGACTTGAGGGGGAGGGATTGCATAACAATAAAAGAATTTTTCTTTTTCTTTTCAAGGAGAACAGTGAATGGGGCGAGGGGGTGTGTAGGGAGAAAAGTGCAGCAATGAATGGAAACCCTAAGTTTCTGCAAACTTTCATTAAAATTAATAAAAGAAAAGCTGGGGAAACTTGGTCTCACATAGTTTAGGGATGTTGCCAGGAGGTGCTAGTCCTCTTAGGGAAAGGCACCGTGCTGGAAAAACCAGGTCAACAAAAGAGAGGAAGACCCTCAGCGGGGTGCATTGCAGGGGTGCCTGGCACAGGCTTAGGGCAACAGAGCTTATGAGGCTGGGTTCTGTCCAGGTGCCCGTGAGCTGCTGGGATGGAGCTGACCCCACAGCACCTCAAACTACAAGGTAATCCGTGTGTTTGGCGTCTCTCAGAATCCCACTGTTCTTACAGCTGAATGACGTCCACTCGTATGGGTGAGCCACGCCGTGGTCACCCACTGTTCCGTAGAGGCACTCTTGGGCTGCGGGGGACAGCAGCATCCACGTATTTGCTTGAGTCCCTGCTTTCGTTTTGCCTGACAGTGCTGTTGCCGAAACACGTGAAACAGTTCTTTGTTTCGCTTTTTGAGGAACTGTTCTCCTGGCAGCCGCCCTGTTTTGCATGTGGCGGGCGGGGAGGGTTCTGATTTCTCCACATCCTGGTCCACACTTATTTTCTGCTCTTTTTGAAACAAAACATCAGATTGCGCATGAGTCAAGTCACACGGAGGGTTTGGAAGCCCTTGTCCACCAGACCCAGAGTTCCCAAGGCCAGGAGAGGGCTCTGCACCCCCACTGCGGACACACGAAGGGCTGTGTACACTGGAGAGTTCAGGGGACTCGTTTTCTTAGCTTTTGAGGTCGTGGATTCAAGGCTCTCTCCTATTGTTTCTCTCTTTCTAGATTTGTTCTTTTTTTGTTGTGACTCGAGTGAAAGTTTACAAGTTGGTTTTCTCTTCACCCACTCATGGTTTGGTTTACAGCATTGATGCCGTCCTGGTGATATAATCCCCTTTCCCACTTCCTCCCTGTGATTCTCATTTCCATTAACCCCTCAGTCTTATTCCTTCCTGATTTCTGGACTTTGTCTTCGGGCAAATGTTGCTCTTTTGACCTTATTTGGTTTATTATTTTAAGGAATGAGTGACTCCCTAGTGTTACTGATCCACTGTTATAATAACAGTTTATTCTATTGTTTGACAATGAATAAGGATGACAGAAGAAGAACTGATGCCTTTGAGCTGTGGTATTGGAGAAGTGCACTGAACATCTCATGGATGGCCAAGAGAACTATGTCTTGAGGAAGGTGTAGCCAGAGCGCTCCTTGGAGGCAAGGATGGTGAAGCTTCATTTCACATACTTTGGGCATGTTGCGAGGAAGGACTATTCCTTGGAGAGGGACATCAGGCTTGGATAGGTGGAGGGTCGGCAAAGGAGAGGATTCCCCTCGACCAGGTGGACTGACACAATGACTGCAGCAACGGGCTTAAGTGTGTCTGGATGTGTGAGGATGTGGTACAGGTTAGGACAGAGTTCAGAACGGTTGTTCATAGGGTCGCTGAGTCGTGCTTGACTTGATGACAGCTAACACACAACACTGGCTGAAAGCTGAGTCTTGGGGAGGTGAGTTTTGTTTGAAGGGTATCTGGGTTCCAACAGTCTCAATGGGGCCAGTGAGCCTAGCTAGTTTATGTTTTTGAGTTTTGTTCCATATTTTCACCCACTTTATCAAGATCTTCTGCTGTAGTCTCTTTCAGAGTGGTCAGCAGGAGCACCGGGCACCATCTAGTTCTTCTGGTCTCAGGGCGGTCAGCACGGGAGCTGGGCACCATCAGTTTCTTCTGGTCTCAGAGTCATGCATATTGACGTTCTCATGGTCCTTTGGGCTATGTCCATCCATTTATTATTATTATTAATGACAATTTACAGAGACGTAGGGTTTCCATTCATTCACAGAGATGCTGTATGCAATAGAACAAGACCCTGCTTCATGCCCTCACTCCGCTGTGTGTGCGGCCACTGCTGCAGACACGGCCCATGCGTCTCACCGAGGGTCTTCCTCTCCGTCACTGACCCTCTTTTTCCCAGCACGATGTCCTCCAGGCTTCACATGCCTGTGAGACCAGGTGTACCATCCTCTCTTCTCCAGCTTCACTCCCTCCAAGACAGATCTGTCTGTTCTCTTGGCCGTTGCCATGGATTGAATGGTGTCTCTGCAAATACAGGTACAGAATGATAGAATCTGGAAGCCATGTGTTGCTCCCCCATGATCTGTTAAACCACATGGCTGTAAGAGGCTTGAGGGTGGAATACCACACTCCCCAATCCCATCTGTGCCCTTAAAGACTGTGAGGCAAGGTGCTTCTACGTGTAGCCTGTAATACCTCTTACCCCCTGGAAAGTGAGCTAAGAAGGGGGACCCTTCGTTTCACCCAGAGTGTCTTTTGGGCCAGGCCCTGCTCCATGAATGTCTTGCCACCATTATGTCCGTGGCATTACAATTAGCTCACAGTTGGCCCTCCAGGGGGTTTTCAGAGGCTGTAAATCAGTTAAAGATTTCCCATCTTTCTTTCTCGGAGCAGCTGGTAGTTTTGAACCGCCTGCCCTTGGGTTGGCAGTGCACGACCTTCCACATCAGGCCACCAGGGGACGCTGGCCCTGCAGATTCTGACACAGACAAGGACTTCCCTCACGGCCGACACAGAAAGAGCTGCTTCCCCAGGAGCTGGAGCCCTGAACCTGGATTTCTAGTCTCCTGAACTGTAAGAGAATAAACGTGCTTGGTAAAACCTTCCGTCGTGGTAACTCTGCTATAGCAGCGTCAGACAACGAAGACGGCGGTTCATCGGAGTCAACATTCTTCACCAACACTGAGCAGCTCTGGTGGCGTGGTGGTAAGGAGTCGCACTGCCAACCCAAAGGCAGGCAGTATGGAACCCAGAAGCTGTCCAGCGTGGAAAGATATGCTATTTCCCATGTGATTTATAGCCACCGAGGACCCGCTGAGGGGTCAGCGTGAGTCTATTTCCACTTAAGAGTTTGAGTGTGGAAACATTATACTGAGAACTAAGGCCACACTGACACACAGTATCTATCAAGGGCTGATTTGGGGGAAGTTGATCACCAGGCCTTTCTTCTGAGGCACCACTGGGTGGGCTGGAACCACCAACTCTTCGGTCAGTCATCGAGCGCTTGATGGCAGCACCAGGGAGTCCCCCCGGCACTTGGGGAGACTGAAAGTCTGCATTTGAAGCCACCCAGTTTGGGGGGTGCTGGTGTAGCGGACTCAGAGGGAAGTCCACGTCTAAGTGAGGCACACAGAGATCTACAGTCACACACGTGCACTGAGCGGCAGTGAATTTATTAAGGCAAAGCTGGAAGAAACATCAAGGCGCCAGAACCGGCTGGCCAGGCTGGCACCCGCCTCCTTCACCCCTACATGTCTCGTCAGCGTTACTGTCCCCCCACGTCCTTGAAAGCCCACTTCTCACGTGGGAGGCCCCAGGCTGGTACCCAGGACTCACACTGAAAGAGAACCAGTGAAAGACAGCCTGGACTTTTATAGGACAAAACTGGGAGGAGGGCCCCGAGCTAAGGGAGGGGAGAGGAGGGCCCTGAGCTGAGGAGGGGAGAGGAGGGCCCCGTCAGGCCCAGCCTCCCACTGTTAGAAGAGTTAGATCTCTAGGAGCTGCTGGAGGTGGAAGGGAGGGTGGCTGCTGGACCCCTTCCCAGGAAAGGCTGAGCTCCCCAGGACCCCCTCTTCCCTACTTCTGGTCTTCTGGGGCTTTCTCGGTGAGTCCGGGGGAGAAGGGCCCGACCAGCCAGTTGACGGGTGCGTTCTGGGCCACGTGCTCCACCATCTCGTCCAGGGCCTCGCGGGCCTTGGTGAGGCGCTCACGGCTCTGGGTCATGATGGCCCCGGACAGGTCCTGGAAGGAGTGGATGTCGGAGAAGGTGGCCTGCAGGCCCTCCACCTGCTGGCGGGCCTGCTGGGCCTTGTCCCTAATGTTGCTGGGCAGGCCCTGCAGGCTGGAGGCCAGCGAGGCACAGGTGGCCTGCAGCTGCTGCGTCGTGTCCCGGAACATGGTGAGCACCTGGGACTCCACCTGCTGGGGACGGAGGGAGGGGACAGTCAGGGGCCAGGGTGCCCGGGGAGGAGAGGTGGTGGGGGTGCGGGGGCTGACCCCTGGCAGGGCAAGCTGACTGCGGGCAGAGCTGCCCACCACGGGCTTGGTCCCACAAGTAGTCGCTTCATCTGCTGACAGAAGGCTGTGAGGGTGAGGTGACTGTGAGGTGACTTGGGGTTCATCAGACAGTTAAGCTCAGAATGACCATGTGACCCAGGCTTTCTGCTCCTCCCACAAACCAAAGACTCAAAAGCAAGGATGCGGCGCTGGTGCCCCGAGCTCACTGCCGCGTGCTCACTGAAGTGCCCCATGCTCACTGCCCCGTGCTCACTGCAGCCTGGTGCCCTGTGCTGACTGTGGTGCCCCACGCTCACTGCCCCGTGCTCACTGCAGCCTGGTGCCCTGCGCTGACTGTGGTGCCCCACGCTCACTGCCCCGTGCTCACTGCAGCCTGGTGCCCTGCGCTGACCGGGTGCCCCACACTTACTGCCCCGTGCTCACTGCAGCCTGGTGCCCTGCGCTGACTGGGTGCCCCACGCTCACTGCCCCGTGCTCACTGCAGCCTGGTGCCCTGCGCTGATTGTGGTGCCCCATGCTCCCTGCAGCACTAGTCACTACTGCCAAGAGGTAGAAACAGCCCAGGAGCAGAAGAGTGAGGAGCAGTGCGTACAAACGTACACATGCTGTTATGAGCTGTCCGGTCAGAACCGACCCTCCAGCAGGTTTTCAGAGACTGTGAGCCTAAGGGAGCCCTACTGGTAAGGAGCTGCGCTGCCAACCCAAAGGTACACGGTTCAAACCACCAGCTGCTCCACAGGAGAAAGATGGGCAGTCCCCTCCCACGCGATTACAGTGCCTCTGAAGACCGTGGGAGGGTCAGCTACGCACTAGTTCTGACTCCACTGTGCACAGCACCAAATCGTATGGGAGATTATCCACCTTTCTCCTACACATATGCACACGTACACAGACAGGTAACAGGAGGCGTATATGTTCCTCTTGTACCCGTACACTTTGCCGGATTCTCACTCATAGCTGACCCCTCACTGGGCTCTCTGAGGTGAGAAGTCACACGACAGGAGACTGCCCATCTTTCTCCCTCGCAGCCTCTGGCGGACGTAAGTGGCCAGAGAGGGAAGGCCTTTGAGTTAGCAGGACAATTCCCTATGGGCACCAACTCCCTGAACTGGCCAATCAAATCCAACTGCTTTCTTGCTGAATCTCTGGGACTTTCTAGACGTAGGATCACAGGTGTACTGAGATGCTAGGCCTGAGAGCTGGGCAGTGAATAAGGACAGCAGAAAAAGAATTGACGTCTTTGAGCCGTAGTGTTGGAGATGAGTCCTAAATATGCCTCGGAATGCCAAAAGAACAAACGGCTATGTCTCGGAGAAGGTGCAGCCAGAGTGCTCCTTGGAGGTCAAGATGATAAAGCTTCATCTCACATATTTTGGGTGTATTGTTAGGAGAGGCTATTCCTTGGAGAGGAACCTCATGCTTGGAAAGGTGGAGAGTCAGAGGAAGACCCCCCAACCAGATGGATTGACACAATGACTGCAGCAGTGGGCTCAAGTGTGTCAGAGATGATGAGGACGACACAGGACAGGACACAGGTCAGACCTGTCATTCTTAGGGTCCCTATGAGTCATACTCAACAGCACCGAACAACAACAAACACATACAGGATCATATCATCTGGATGTAGAAATAGTTCTCCTCTCCCTGTGCCAACCAGGAGACCTTTATTTCCTTTTCTTGCCCTACTGCTCTGGCTAGGACTTCCCTGACGACACAGGAGTGGTGACAGAGGGCATCCTTGTCTGGTTCCTGCTCACCAACTATGAGCCTGATATGTACAACAGGACAGTAAACCAAAAAGAAATAAATCAACCAAGGTTAGAAAACAAAAAGTTTGTGAACGGTTGTGTGAAAAACCAACACGCTGTGTCAATAAATCTTCACTCAAATAAAATGATAGTAAAAAAAAAAGCCACAAACCTATGCAAAAAATTAATAATCTGAGTGAAAGGAAAGGCAATACGCAATTGGGGATTGATACGAGAAAAACCTTCAGAAAGTCTCACTGCCATCAGGTCGGAACTGACTCAGCTGACCGGCCAGCGGGTTTTCAGGGGCCGCAAGTCACACGGGAGGAGATTGTGCGTCTAACTTCCGGAGCGGCCAGGGATCCAAACTGCCTGCCAGCTCCTGGACATCGTGATAATTAACTACATTCATCAATAGCAATTTACATCATAAAATGTGTTGGAAAATAAATGGAATTGGAATTGGAGTTATAAGGTGAAATGTGTGTGAATGAAAAACCAGTATGGTTTGTAAACTCAACTAATGAATAAATTTAAAAAACCCCCAAACTTAGGGAGAAGAGTGAGCCCTTTGGTCTGGGTCTGGGTGGGTTCTGACTCACAGGACGTCCACCCGGCCTCCCAGGCTGTGACTGTTACAGCAGGAAGCTGCTTATCCTTCTCCAGGGGCAGGACATGGGCATCAGCGCCTGACCTTCAGCCAGCAGCGCGGCATACAAGGCCTCATATCTCAGTCACTAAAGGACAAATACTGCATGGGGCCACTGTTGTAAAATGGGACTGGCATCGGGGTTGTGGGAAGACAGAAAAGGAGGGGAGGAATGATGCATATTGCATTGAAACAGATGAACTGTTTAAAAGGGACATATGAAGGGGTATTCTTGACATTACAGAAGTCCAGAGTGAAGGCTGCATAGTGGAGAGAACTTGGGGGGGAGGGACTGCATAACAATGAAAGAGTTTTTCTTTTTCTTTTCAAAAAGAAGAGTGAATTGTGGGGTGCGCAGGGAGAAAAGTGCAACAGTGGATGACTGAAAACCCTAAGTCTCTGTAAACTTTCATTAAAATTAATTAAAACAAAACAAAAACAAGGCCCCAGCTCGAGACCCAGCACCCGGCACCTGGTACCATGGCTCCTTCTTATAGGACGCCGCTCAGCCATGAAGAGATAAGGAATCCTGATCACAGGACAAACCTTGAAACCTTGACAAGATGGTGCTGAGCGCCAGAAGGCTGACCCAGTGGGGCAGACACTGCCTGACCCACTTAGACGATTTGTCAAGAGAGGGCAAATGCAAAGAACAGGCAAAACAATGCTTTAAGCATGTGTCCACTAAACCAAAGGTCGCCAGTTCAAATCCACCCAGGGCTTGACAGGAGAGAGACCCGGAGATCTGATTACAGCCTAGGAAACCCTTCTGGGGCAGGTCCACTCTCACGTGGGGTCGAATCGATTCTACAGCACCAAGACCAAAGCAGAGGCATGGCCGAGGGAGAAGTGGCCGCTGTCACAGTAAAATACTGCTCTAATGTCACTGAAATAGTAAAACAGGAGGAGTGGCCACTGTCATAGTAAAGTAAAACCACATGTCCCACCTCTGAGTCAGGTCCAATCAGAGCGACCCTCCACTGACCGCCATTGGCTTCCGAGGCTGTAAGTCTTCAGGAGAGAAACTGTCCATCTTTGCACTGTGACGTAGCTGGTGGGTCTGAACCAACGACCTTCGGGTCCACAGCTCAATACGCTCCACACTTACACTCTAAGTGTAACCAGGTGTAGGGATTTCTTGTTGCTGCGACCCATAGTGACCCTCTGTACAGCAGCTCTGAAGCCGGCCCTGTCCTGAGCCCATCTCACTGACTCCGACACACAACCCCCACTGCCCCAGTCACTGTATCACTCCATCTCATCGGGGCTCTTCCTCTCTCCTGTGTTGTCCCTTCTTCTTAGGATGGTACAAATGTTGAACGTTGTAGTGTTGGTGACATAATCCCATGAACATATTACAAACCAGTGTCTGGACACTTTAAGGAGATTAATTGGTATTTAAATTATGTCTCAATAAAGCTGTTCTTTAAGAAGGCAGGAAGATCAGAGAGGAAAGGAGGGGGAAGGGAAACCAGAAGAGAAGGAACGAGAATCCAGAGGAGGAGGAGGAGGGCAGGAAGAACCTTCCAGGAGGAAGAACCAAGTAAACTGTGGGCTAGAAGCCAGTTTAGATCAGGTCCTTGAAAGTTCCCTGGGGGGAGCTCTGGTGGCCTAGTGGCAAGGAGCTGCAACTACAATCCCAGAAGCACAGTTCGAATCCACCAGATGCTCTGCCAGGAAAAGGAGGGACTATCTCCTCCTGTACCAGTCAGATCTGATTTGACGGTACACACACACACACACACACACACACACACACACGCGCGCGCGCTAGAAAGTTACCCGGAAGAGAGATAAGAGGGGCTTTGAGGCAGGACTTTGCCCAGAGCTCAAGGCTTTGGACTTGAAACTGTGGGCAGCAGGGAGGTACTGACACAGGCTAGTTCAAACCTGCTTTGTGTTCTGAAAAATTCTCCCATCCCAGCTGTGTTCAGGAAGAAGGAGCATGTCAGACGGTATGGGGCTGCCCAAGTCTGCACGCTGAACAGTTTCAGATTTATAAAGATCCTGCAATTCCTTTTAAAATATCACCTATGTAGCCCTAGTGGTAAGAAGCTGTGCTGCAATGCCAAACGTAGGCAATTCAAATCCACCCGCTGCTCCTCCCTTGCAATTCACTGCCTCTGAAAACCCGCGGGAGGCTCACCTATGATTTAGTTCTAACACCACTGGTTCTCAAGGATAACATACAGCCCTGACGAGGTGCTACACAGTATCGATTCAGTTAATCTTTTGAACATTGAGATACAATCCGCCTACCATAAAATTCAGTTTAGACAAGGCTCCTACTTTAGAAGACAAACTAAAGTATTACAACAAAATAAGCACAGATTTGGAGTTAGAAGCCCAAAAAGGAGTAAGCTTGGCATTCCTCGAGCCGGAAGAACTGAAGACTGGATTCAAGCCTCTGGCCACGATGCTGAAAGATTTTACGAGTAAAATCTCAACGACAGAGAAGCATCAAAAGAAAGTGGAAGGACATGAGCAACAATTTAAAAAAAATACTACATAACTTGGGAGAGACTGGAAAGCATTATGCTGAGTGAACTAACTCAGCCTCCTAAGGACAAATACTGCAAAACAGCACTTTTGTAAAAAAACAAGGATAACTAGTAAAACATGTTTGGGACCCAATGGGGGAAGGGGTGGGAGTGAAGGGTTCCACAGCTTAGTGGGTGGAGAGAGGCGGTGAAGAAAATGAGAATGGTGCAGCAGGGACCTGAAAAGAGAGGGTAATGATGGGCAAGTCCAACGGCGATTGATTTTATAAAACATAATGCATGAGAATGATTGTATAAAACACAATTTTTTTAAAAAGGTGGCAGGAATACACAGTCAGTGCACCAAAAAGAACTGGATGATGCTGACATACAATCAAAACCTAGAGGTACTGAAGGAAGAATTCTAAACCGTCCTAAAGGTACTGGGGGAAAAAGAAAGCTCCAGAAATCTGCAGATTAAGAATTGAAGGCTTTTGACAAACAGATGCAGCACCAGATGTGCTCACTAATCTACGCCAAAATATTTAGAAGACCTGGCCACCTGGCTGGGAGAAATCCATAGCTGTTCCCATTTCCCAAAAAGATAATCCAACAGAACATGGAAATCACCAAGCAATGCCATTAATACCACATGCCAATGAAATCTTACTGAAAATTAGTAAAAAAAAAATGGCCAGAACAGCACATCGGCAGGGAAATGCCAGGAATTCAAGCTGGATTCAGAAGAATCCATGGGGATATAATTTTTGGTGTTAGCCATGATGCGAAAATTGTTTCTTGTGTTCTATTTGACTACGCAAAGGCATTTGACTGTATGGATCAGAATACAGTATGGAAAACACTGAGAAGAATGGGAATCCCAGAAAACTTAGTTGTGCTCATAGATCATTTAAACAGAACCAAGGAAGGGAGCTCTGGTGACCTAGTAGGCAAGAAGCTGCACAGCAAACCTGAAGGCAAAGAAGTTTGAATCCACCAGAGGCTCCCTTGGAGAAGGAGGGGCAAACTCCTCCTGTGCCAGTCAGATCTGATTTGACAGCACACACACACACACAAAATAATAAAATAAAAAATAATTTAAGAAAAACAAAAGAAAGGATACTGCTTGATTTAAAACCAAGGAAGGCCCGTGTCAGGGCTGTGCCCTTTCACCACCATTACTCTGCCTGAAGCTGAGCCCAAAATATGAGAAACTGCACTGTACAAAGATGAGGCATGAAGGTCAGAGGGAGATTCATCAACAACCTGCAATATGCATAACCACTTGTGGAAAGTTGCCAATTACTTCACTTTACTTGGCTCCCCAGTCAGCACCATGTAGGTGTCCATTCTCTTGGTCATCCATAGGGTATTCAGTGCTCTTCTCCAACACCACAGCTCAAAGGCATCAATTCTTCTCCGTCATCCTTCTTCACTGCCCAGCTTTCAGATGCATAGTAAGTAATTGGAAAGACTATGGTCTGAATCAGATGCACCTCAGTCCTCAAACTGACATCATTACTCCTTAGTAATTTGGAGAGGTCCCTAATGGTAGATTTTCCCAGTGCAATGCATCTCCTTATTTCCTGACTGCTGGTACCACGGGTGTTAATTGTGGATCCGAGCAAGATGAAGCTGTTGACCGTTTTCATCTCCTTTCCATCCATCATGATGTTGCCTATCAGTCCAGTGGTAAGAATGTGTTTTCTTGGGGAGCTCTGGTGGCCTAGTGGCAAGGAACTGCAACTACAATCCCAGAGGCTCATGGTTTAAATCCACCAGATGCTCTGCTGGAGAAGGAGGGACAATCTCCTCCTGTACCTGTCAGATCTGATTTGACGGTACACACACACACACACACACACACACACACACACACAGAATCTGTTTTCTTGATATTGAGATGCAAGCAACACAGAAGGCTGCATTCCTTGATCTTCTGCAACAAGTGCTTCAAGTTCTCCTCACTTTCAGCAAGCAAGGTTGTGTCATCTGGACAATGCAGGTTATTGATAAGTCTCCCTCCAATCCTGAGCCACATTCCTCTTCATAGAGTCCAGCTTCTCAGATAATTTACTCCGTATACAGATAGAATAGGTAGAGAGAGAGAATACAGCCCTTCTCTGTTTTAAATGATGTGCTTCCCTGCTCTATTTGCACGACAGCCTCCTGCTCCAGGTATAGGTTCCTCATGAGCACAATCAAGTGCTGTGGGATTCCCATTCTTTTCAATGTCAGACACAACTTGTCACAATCCACACAGTCAAATGCCTTTGCGTAGTCAATAAAGCACAAATAGACATTCTTCTGGTATTCCTTACTTTCAGCCAGGATCCATCTGACCTTAGCTATGATATCCCTGGTGCCAAGGCCTCTTCTAAATCCTGCTTGAACTTCTGGCAGTTCCCTATCCATGTATTCTTCTGGCCGTTTTTGAATGATCATGGTTGTAGCCGTCAAGAATTGAAAAGATGGGTCTTGCAGCGATAAGCCAAAAGGACAAACACAACGGGAGAGTGGAGGGGCACCCGCTGTATGTCCTCTCGGCCTTTCAGGAAACATGGAGTTGTTCCTTAGGCCACTTATATACGAGTCTGCAAGAAAGGAGATATTGTAGACATGGAGGGAATAGACCCTGTTCAGAAAGGAATGCCTCACAAATGTTACCATGCAGAACCGGAAGAGTCTACAATGTTACCCAGCATGCTGTTGGCATCATTGTGAACGAATAAGTTAAGGGTCAAATTCTTGCCAAGAAGGGGAGCTCTGGTGGCCTAGTGGTAAGGAGCTGCAACTACAATCCCAGAGGCGCATGGTTCAAATCCACCAGATGCTCTGCCGGGGAAGGAGGGACAATCTCCTCCTGTACCAGTCAGATCTGATTTGATGGTACACTCACACAAAATAAAAAAAATACAAAAATTTTTAAAAAAATTCTTGCCAAGGGAATTAACGTGTGCGTTGAATATATTAAGAACTCTAAGAGACCACTTCATGAAATGAGTGAAGGAAAATGATCAGAAAAAGAAGGAAGCCAAGGAGAAAGGTGCTTGGGTGCAGCTGAAATGCTAGCGCGCTCCCCGCAGGGAGGTACACTTTGTGAGAACGAACGGGAGCCCGAGCTGCTGGAACCTAATGCCTATGAATTCATGGCGTAATCGGGGGAAATAAAGGTGTCTGTCTGGTTAAAAAAAAAGGAATTGAAAAGATGGGGGCTCTGGTGGCTTTGTGGTGAGGAGCTGCCATGCCAACACAAAGATGTGTGGGTCAAACCCCTCAGGTGCTCCACAGAAGGAAAAAATGGAAATCTGCTGTGTAGGATCCCTTTCACTTACTGATGTGATTTTAAAAAAGAAAATGAAATAAAAAATTAAAAGATGTGTTGCACTGGTAAAATCTGATGGTAAGGACCCTTAAAAAGATAATAAAGATGTCACTTTAAAGACTAAGGTGTGTCTGACCCAAGCCACGCTTTCTTCAGTTGCTTCCTTTGCATCTGGAAGTTAGACAATGAATAAGGATGACAGAAGAAGAATCAATGCCTTTGAATTGTGGCGTTGGCAAAGAGGACTGAATATCCCTGGGATGCCAAAAGAACAAACAGGTCTGTCTCGGAGGAAGTTTAACCAAGGCACCCCTTACAGGCAAGGATGGTGAAACTCTGCCTCACATGCTGTGGACGCGTTGTCAGGACAGGCTAGTCTTTGGTAAATGGTATCATGCTGGGAAAGTTGGAAGGTCAAAGAAAGAGAGGAAGACTCTCAATTAGATGGACTGACACGCATCCCAGGGATCAGAGCAATACCTGCAAAGAGTGGAAATCAAGACGGGCTTCCTGTGCTCGCTTCGGCAGCACATATACTAAAATTGGAACGATACAGAGAAGATTAGCATGGCCCCTGTGCAAGGATGACATGCAAATTCGTGATGCGTTCCATATTTTTACTTGCTATTCGAGGAGATGAAGAATTGGACTCTCTTATCAAGGCTACAATTGCTGGTGGTGGTGTCATTCCACATATCCACAAATCTCTGATTGGGAAGAAAGGACAACAGAAGACTGTCTAAAGGATGCCTGGATTCCTTACTATCTCAGGACTCGAAAATACTCTAACAGCTCTCCAGTGTTGGTGATTCCAGTGGACTGTATCTCTGTGAAAAACACAATTTTGCCTTTTTGTAATTCTATTTGAACAAGTTGGGAGTTTAATTAGCTTTCCAACCAACCAAATTTCTGCATTCGAGTCTTAACTGTATTTAAGTGTTACTGTAGCTTCAAAGACGCTATTGATTCTGAAGTAGTGGGTTTTGATTAACTGTTTTTAAAAAACGGTTTGGATGTTAACTGTGATGCAGAAGTTATAGTAACAAACATTTGGTTTTGTACAGACATTATTTCCACTCTGGTGGATAAGCTCAATAAAGGTCATATCCCAAAAAGAAAAGAAAAAAAAAGACGGGCTTCCTGGAGGAGATGTTAGAGCAGCCTAAGGCAGTTAGCAGGAAGTGAATCTAGGGAGAGTGCTCCAGGCAGAGGGGCCCAGCGAGCAGGGGCCTGGAGAGTGCCCCGGGTACCTCTGGCTTGGCCGGGTTCTCCTCGCTCTCCTTGATCTGCTTCTGCTTCCAGCTGAGCCACATTTGGTGCAGCTTCTCCTGCCCCTCCACCAGCTTCTGATCCACACCCTGCTTGACCGTTTCCATCTGCAGCAGGAGAAAGCAGCAAGGGAGGTTCCCACCAGCACCCCACTAAGGCCAGCAGGAACCCCACAGGCCCCGGAGAGGAGAGGTGGGAGGCCCAAGGTCTCCGTGTGGTACAAATGCTTTGAGTGTGAGTGCTGACCTCAAAGGTGGTCATTTCAAAGTCACCCAGGGGTGCAGAGAAAGAAAGGCCTGGCACCCTGCTTCTGTAAAGATCACAGCCGAGAAAACCCTGTGGAGCACGGCTGCTCTCTGGATGCAAGGCTGAGTTGGAAGCGGCCTGATGCCAAGGGGTTGGGACTGGTTTGGTTAGTGAGAGGCCCTAGAAAGGGGGGCGGCATGGCCACTGCTGTTTCCAAATAGGTTTTCCATAGGCTGCTGGGAGCGATTATGCCAATTCTGACTCAAAGCGACACCCCCAGGGGGAGAGCAGCAGTGCCTCACAGTTTCTCAGAAAGGTCAGCGGTTCGAACCTGCCAGTTGCTCCGTGGGAGGGTGGTGAGGCAGGCAGTCTGCTTCCATGAAGATCCCCAACCTTGGGAACCCTGGGGGGCACTTCTGTCTCTGACAAGGTTGCTACCAATTGGGATTGACTCGGTGGCAGTGGGTTTAGGGCTTTTAAGATCTATAGAAAGCAGATCACTAGGTCTTTTCTTCCACAGAGCCACTAAGTAGACTCGAACTGCTGACCTTTTGGTTAGCAGAGAGGCGCTTCACCACCATGCCACCAGGGACCCTTGGGTTTTCCACAGTGGGTTCTGTGCGCTTCAGTGTAACCACTACTTGTGCCTGTGTGGTTGTGGCAAAGAACCAAACCAGGCCACAAAATCACTGCCACAGAGGGAGGCCCCTCCTTACGGCGACCCCTAACTGGTGTACAAGGCTGTACACCATTAAGGGAGGGACAGCCCAGCGTCCTCCCACGGAGGGGCTGGTGGATTCAAACCACTGACCTTTACGTTAGCAACTCGACACTTAAGATACCACATCACCAGGGCAAAGAAGATGGTCACCAAGAACCTGCAGCTCCTGCCACCAAGCCAACATGTCCAGCCTAGAAGCTGGACTTGGCTGGGTACCTTGCACTGGCCAGCTGGACACAAGCAGATGGGATACTGTGGCGTGTCCACCCTTGCTGACCTGGGGCCCTCAAGCCGCAGTCACCTCGGGAAGGAGCCTCAGCTAGCCTGTCCAGAGGAGACTTCCCAGGTGCCCAGGCTCCTGCTGGCC